CTGCCCTCACCCCAGGCCTCTGAGAGCCCGGCAGGTGCCTCGCCCAGGGTTCCTGCTGCCTCAGTTCACCAGATTTCGCTCATGCCTTTTGCAGCACTTCCCAGAATGTGCCCATAGGTACGAAACCTTCTCACTGCCAGCAGAACGATCTCCATCAGAAGTTGCCTGCTAATGGTCTGCAACCTGTGTAGAGTCACTGATGTGGGGAAGTAGAGGCAGCTTTGGGAGAAAAGCACGGCCCAAGAAAGAGGACAACAGCCAGGAGCGGGGGAAGGTCCCCACCCCTGCCCTGGCAGAACCTCTGGGCTCACCTGCCCTGTCTTTTGTTTTGGGCTCCTCTGTGCCCCATGTCCTATCAGATATCAGAGGCCTGCCTGAGGGCTTAGCCTGCTGTTATCTGGGGACTTGTAAAAACAAACATTTTAAAGCTCCTAGACACACTATTTGATTTTATTCCTAATGGTATTGTAAACATGCAACTCCGGGGCTCTAAGAAAGACTTTTGGACAACTTTCTACTTCTAGATTGGTTCAAATAACCAGAATCAGTTCTCCTCCAAATAACTTCCTTGGTACACAAACACCTGGGCCTGTGAGAACAAAAATAGTTTGGCATGATCTGAAACAAACGCCAGAGAGAAGGTGCGGTACCGGATACAGCGTCTGGGGTGCTGCAGTGGGCCTGGGTCTGTGGGTGTACTGGACAATGACACGTACATAAGAACTTAATCCACAGCTTGACATAAGGCAAAGGCTGACACAGTCAGAACCATTAGAATGAGAACAAGGAAAGACCTGAAAATGCCTCTAGCGCGAGTTCTGAACACAATGGCTTTCCCAATTCCCCTTTCACTTGTGCTTCAGAAAATAAAAAACTCACACCTGTAATCCCAGCACTTTGGGAGGCTAGAGTGGGAGGATTGCTTGAGCCCAGGAGTTTGAGACTAGCCTGGGCAACATAGTGATAATCGTCTCTACAAAAAATTAAAAAAGTATCCAGGCGAGTGCCTGTAGCCCCAGCTACTCAGGAGGCTGACTCAGAAGAGTTCCCTGAGCCCAAGCATTGGAGGCTGTGGTGAGCCGTGATTGTGCTGCTGCACTCCAGCCTGGGTGACAGAGTGAGACCGTGACTCAAAAACAAAACAAAACCAAACCTAAAAAAAAGAAAGAGCCTGAATTCTGTGTGTCCATCTCTTCTTGAGTTTCATTTATTCTGAAATGTCAGACCAAAACCAGAGACTGTGTGTCACCACAGCTTTGTTGTCTTCTGCCTGTATCTTCTTGTTAGTCTCATAACTCTCCAAGACACGCCTGATGATATCACAGAACTTCGTCAGAGTGAGAGGCAAATAGAAGTGCATCTACCTAGGTGGTTCCTGAACCCTGCCTGACCAGCATAATGATGATCAACTGAATGTGGGAACCAGCGACCTGGAATCCCTGGTGTTGCAGAGAAAGAACTTGAAGCTTAGGAAGCATACATGACTCCTCCAAGGTGACAGCACTAGTCTCATCCAAGATCATACTGCTAGACTCCTCCAAGGTCACAGCAGCAGACCCCTCCAAGGTGGGCAGTGTCTACACAGGATGCTGTCAGAGGCATTCAGAAACCTGCAGTCACACCCCATCCCTGGCCCAGCACTCCAAATCCTTCACAGCCCATTTACCAGAAATTCTGTTGTGTGGATACCTGTTAAAATGCCACACCTCTGGTGGGATAACATTTTTTTTTTTTCGAGTTGGGGTCTCACTCCGTTGCCCAGGCTGGAGTACTGGGCTCCAGTGATCCTTCTGCCTCAGCCTTCCAAGTAGCTGGGACTACAAGTGCGCGCCACCACGCCCAGCTAATTTTTGATTTATTGTAGAGATGTGGTCTCGCCAAGTTGCCTGGGCTGGTCTCGAACCTGCTGACTCAGGCAATCCACTTGCCTCGGCCTCCCAAAGTGCTGGGATTATAGGCTGAGCCACCGAGCCCGGCCAGGATAACATTTTAACATATTACCATTCAGGTGCATATTAGTGAAGATGACATATTTGAGACTAGGCTGGGACAGAAGGGAAGGAGGGACTTGAGATTATTTTGCGGTGGCTTCCGCCACTTCCTGCCCAGCCAGGAGCCAGGTGTGAGAAGGATGGGAAGGAAAAACTAGAAAACCGAATGCAGGTGTGTCTGGCTGTTAGGATTCATTTGAAATACTGTAGTCATGTTTTGCTTAAGGATGGGCATACGATCTGAGAAATTCTCAAGCATCGTGGAGTTACTTACACAAACCTAGATGGTCTAGCCTACTGCACACCGAGGCTATGCAGGATAGCCGATTGCTGCTAGGCTACAAACCTGTATAGCACTTGACTGTACTGAATCCTGTAGACAGTTGTAACACAATGGTATGTATTTGTGCATGTAAACATATCTTAACACAGAAAAGGCACAGTAGAAATACAGTGTTATCATCTTTTGGGACCATTGTCATACGTGTGCTCTGTCGTATGACTATTATGAGTCCGTCATGTTCTGTCTCATCCCTAGGCCTTTGCCTATGCTGTTCCTTCTGCCTGTAATGCTTTTCCCTCCCTGACCCCTTCTCCTGGCTCACTTCAGCTCATCGTTCCAGATTCAGACATCGTTTCCTCCGCTGGCTTCTCTCCGGCCCATCGGCCTTGCCCACGCCACACCTGGGCCGGGCGTGCCCCTCCTGTGTGTGTTTCCACATGGTTCTCACATCCACTGCCTTCACACCAAGGACTTTGTGTCACAGTTACCTGTTGCTTGGGCAGCAGGAGTTCTGCCAGCTCAGATGGTGTTAGCACCACAGTTTTTAATTTTTTTTTTTACTTTCTCTCCATCCATTTATTTTCTTTTATTGAATCGGGGTCTCACTCTGTTGTCCAGGCTGGCGTGCAGTGGCATGATCATGATGATCATGGCTCACGGCAGCCTCCGCCTCCTGGGCTTAGGCGATCCTTCCACTTCAGCATCCCACGTAGCTGGGACTTCAGGCGTGGGCCACCACACCTGGCTAATTAATGAATTAAATTTTTGAGGCGTCGATATAAGGTCTCACTATGTTGCCCAGGCTGGCTTCGAACTCCCGGATGAAAGCAATCCTCCTGCCTCAGCCTCCCAAATCGCTGGGATTATAAGCATGAGCCACCATGCCCGGCAGCCTCTTTCCATCAATTTGAATCCAAATCTGAGACTGCTTTCTACGGGGCTGGCAAGAAATTCCACTTTAGCCAGAATTGGGGCTCTGTCCCCCCGCCTTGGGGGGTCACACTTCCTATCCAAGAGTCTCATGTGATTCTGAGAAAACGAGGAGAGGACCCTGAATTTGTTTGTGCATCAGGTAGACATTGCTGCTTGTCCAAATCCGAGAGGTCCCTTGAGACCCCACGGCCACGTTTCTATGCCAGACACAAGGCACAGGCATCTTTGCCGGGCCTGGGCCCTGGCATTCGGGAGTTAGGCAGCTCCGTGCTTTCTCCGACGTGGTCCTGCCACCTTTGTGTTCTGCCCAGGATCTGGGCCAGTCCCCGCTTCTGAAAGTTGCAGATCTGTCTCCCCCGCTCCATGAGGGACACTGGTCAAAACTCTCTCCATCGACCCACCTTCTCTTAAGCAATGTTGGCTGTCATAAAAACAAACAAAAAGGTGCTGCTTTCAGCAGCTTCTTGTCTGAGCACTGTCAACACCTGCGGGGCAAAGAATTACGAAAAGCCCAGACACGTTCTCGACAGGGAAACATCTAGAAAGAATGAACACAAATGATTACTTCAATAAATCCTCCTACCCTGCTCATTTGGACATCGAAAGGCACTCCCAAGACCTAATCCGCCGTATGTCCTTAATGAGGATGTGGGTAAAAAGTGAACGTTGACTCTTGGCTGGCCCGTGACTGACACTTGGGGTTTAGCAGGTTGTGCTCTGCACAACTCTAGAGGGTTCCCTCGAACAGATTTTATTACTTATTGAGACAGATTTCTGGCAGGTGTCTTGAAGCATCTTGGTAGAGATGCTTTTTTCTAATTTGCACAAATCAGGCGATTTCGTCATTGTGCAAATATCACAGTTTGTGCTTACACAAACTTGAGGTGGAGCCCTGCCTTTTCTGATCTGCGTGTGATCTAGGCCCTGACAGAGGCCTGTACCTTTTTATTTTTTTAACATTTCCTCATTAATACAACAAGTGGTGAAGCATAAGAAACAAATATTGAGATATCAAGATCAGTTGCAGAAGAGTAGGAAATAAGGGAAGAAGCAGATTCAGAATTATATCCTTCCTGTCCAAAGTTATATCAGATTCAACGTACAAGAGAGTTGTTAATATCAGGCCTACATGGTTTGTGGATATTTGTAACTCTCTAAGTACTTGTAGATATTTAAAAGTAACCTGTTGCAAAATGTTATTATTATTATATATTTTTTTTGAGTTGGAGTCTCACTCTGTCGCTCAGACTGGAGTGCAGTGGCCGCTCCTGGCCACCGCAGCCTCGACCTGCTGGGCTCCGGCGACCCTTCCGCCTCAGCCTTCCAAGTAGCTGGAACTACAGGCGTGCGCTACCACGCCCGGCTAATTTTTGATTTATTGTAGAGATGAGGTCTTGCCAAGTTGCCCAGGCGGGTCTCGAACCCGTGGGCTCAGGCAATCCACTCACCTCAGCCTCCCAATGAAGTTTCTTTTTCTTAATCTCTTTCTTGATGCATTCTGAACCTATTCCTTTTTATTTTGTCTCCACTAATGATTGAATGTAAGGTTTTCTGCTGGGTGCAGGGGCTCATGCCTGTAATCCCAGGACTTTGGGAGGCTGAGGCAAGAGGATCTCTTGAGGCCAGGAGTTTGAGACTAGCCTAAACAAAATTTAAAAAGAGAAAAAATAAGGTTTTCTCCACCCTAATTAAAGTAGCTTGCGTGTGTAGGAAGACGATTATCAAGGAACTCATTTGTGCTTTTAAATTAAAGCAAATACTCTCCATTTGTCTTTGGTTTTGTTTTACAGATCATATGGCCAAGGAGCCAGTGGAAGACACAGACCCAAGCACTTTATCCTTTAACATGGTAGGTTACAAATTGTACATTAATGGTGATGAGCCTTGGTTTGCTTTTTTTTTGCTTTGTTATTTCTTTACATGTCTATTACCCAGTATTTACTTGTGGCTCCGAAACCCCAAAGTAAGATTTCCTAAGATAAGCTGCTTTATCTTGCTATTCTCTGTGACAATAATAAACATTGGGTTTCTTTCTTTTTTTTTTTTTTTTTTTTTTTGAGTTGGAGTCTCACTCTGTCACCCAGGCTGGAGTGCAGTGGCACACACACGGCCACCCCAACGTTGACCCGCTGGGCTCAGGTGATCCTTCTGCCTCAGCCTTCCAAGTATCTGGATGACAGGCGTGTGCTACCACACCCGGCTAATTTTTTTTATTTATTGTAGAGACGGGGTCTGGCCAGGTTGCCCAGGCTGGTCGTGAACCTCGTTGGATTTCTCCAAGCTAAAAATGGTATTCGATTCTGTTCTCCTTCCACTCACACTGGAAGTGATCTTAGATTATATGAGGGCTTTGTGTCCTTGACTGCTTTTAATACTATTGGTCTAGTCGCTGAGCGGCCCTCTGCCATGCACACGCTGCTGGGTTTACCTCTGTTGTCATGTGTAACCCCAGCAGTCGGCCCCTGAGGCCACCCCACCTCACCCTCCCATAACCACTCCGAGGCGTGCCCACTGCTTTAAGGTTTACCAGCGATTTCACATTGTTGTTTTGTTTTTTAA